CCCCCCAACCCCACCCCCACCAAAAAAAAAAGGTTCTTTCTTTCTTATGTTATTACAATTATTACAGTTGATTATGTAGCTGGTGAATAGAATTTTTAATCTACGCCAATTCAATTTATTAGTTTGTAACTTAATTGTAGGCTAACTGACAAATTGGTCCTGCACATTTTCGCTTGGAGTAGATAGGATAAATTAAATGAAATACTTTTGTGCAATTCTTGTTTGATGTCATCCAATGCTTTTGGACACTATTGGATGCATTGTAATTTGCAAATAAATAAATTAATGATAAAAATTTGTAGGATTGGCTTGAAGGGAATCACGTTGAAAAACTTTGTGTAATTGACAAAAACTTGTTGATATTTCCCTTTTATGGGTTCTTTAATATGTTACTGCCATTATGACAGTTGATTGTTTAGTCTGTGAACTAGGCCTTTCAGTCTTTATGGCTTCAATTCATTAGCTTGTAACTGGTAGTGACAAACATAAGAATTACTCCTACACGCCATTTCTTGAAACTAATAGGATCAGTTAAATTGAATGCTTGTGTGCATCTTTTGTTAGTTTCTTAAAATGTTTGCGGGCACTTCTGGATGAATTGAAATTCACGTACATTTCTTCATAGGATAGGCTTGAAGGGAACTATGTTGACAAACTTTGTGTAGTTGAAGCTTGTTGATTTTTTTTCCCTTTATGAATTAGCCGTTTTAGTGTATGTGGCTTATATTTATTAGCTTGAAACTGGTCGAGGACAAAATTGCTTCTGCACATTTTTGCTTGGAAGTAATAGGATCATTTAGTCAATCCTTCATCCTTGTGTGCAACTTTTGTTTAGTTTCTCTTATCATTAACTCAGAATCATATTCTGTTCTCTTTTGTTGACGTCTGCCATAAAGTTAAGCAATGTAATGGGCAAACATTGTGTCATTGGTAATAGGCATGTAAACTAATTGTCACCTTTTTTTCATGTGCTGATCTCTTCTCTTCATCTTTGCTTTCTGTGTTCATATGCTGGTTTATGGTTTGTCACCGGCTAAAGCCATTGTCTCTTCTGACTTTATTTTGTCGCTTCTGACTTTATTGAAGGGAATTTAAGCCTCTTTCGCTTTTTTTTAGTTCCACTTTTGCCTTCTAATTCTTCTGACTTTACTGATAGGATCAACATATTTAACCCATAGCATCGGGAGATTTCTCACCTGTTTGCTCCTCCATTAAGTATGGAATTGTTTACCTCTATGGCTCGCATTGATAGATGAATTATATCATTCAAAATAAACTTTCATTGTGTTAATATTTATGGTTCATATTTAGATTTCTAAGATAATTGTTGGCAATACAAATTGTATTGTTCATAACTTCTTTTGCTATACTAACATAAGGTATAGAATAAGTCCCTTCCTCGTCATTTCTAATTGTCCTAATGATGTAAGGACTTAACGGCCACTTCTTGAACATCGGAACCATTTATTACCTTTGTCCTTGTTAATGAAAATTTGTTTAGTTGTGCATAACTAGCACTTTGAATCAAAGTTTTGAGAGGTCAATGTATGCTGCAGTCTCAGTTTTCCATTATTGATTCTATATCATGAATTTCATTGGTTCAAAAGTTTCAGATTGGTGGTAGTATTACATGCAATGAGTCGAATTTTAATCACAAGATTTTTTTTTTCCATGCATCATTTCTTTCAGTTTTCCGATATAACTCTATCAAATTAAGTTTTGATATTTCAAAATTTAGATCCCCATATTCAAACCAAAAAAAGAAAAAAAATCAGATCACCATATTAGTTGTTATTAGCTAATGTTGATCTATATTAGTCATTATTAGCCAATATCACCGCTATCAACCCATTTCAGCTGGATCGAAATGACTTGCTTAAAAACAGATGATAAATTCAATACGTGTCAATGTTGGATGATACCTGAAATCTATTTAAATGGACCAAAACTGTCATCACATGAAAGTAAATACTGCCATCTTCTCTTTCTATTCTTAAGTTCATTTTGAATTCCGTTTATTCCATTTAGCTATTGAATTCCTAATTCCTCAGTTTATTGCACTTTCGATTCAGTGATTGTGGGAGAGGTTGCCAATTTCGTTGCATATGCATTCGCCCCTGCGGTTCTTGTTACTCCTCTAGGTGCTTTAAGTATAATTGTCAGGTAAATTCATCCTTCTATAACTGGAGTATATTAGAATAACTTGCAAAGGTTTTCACAATATCCCCATTTCAAGTTCAGTGCCTTCTTGGCTCACTTTATGCTGAAAGAAAAGCTACAGGATCTCGGGATTCTTGGCTGTGTAATGTGCATTGCTGGGTCAGTTGTCATTGTAGTTCATGCACCACAAGAAAAAGCAATCACATCAGTTCAGGAAATATGGAGATTGGCCACTCAAATATGTAAGAAAATTTTTTATTTCATTTATTGCTCTAATAGATGAGAACAGAGTATAATTAGCCCCCAAGTTGTAGATTGCTTTTCCAGCCCTCAACTTCTGGTTTCTTCTTTCCTAGACCAAGGCCATAAACATTTCAAAAAAATGTGTCCGTTATTGATTCTAACAAGGGCACATTCAACAATTGAACTCAAATATAACCTACAACTTTACAAGGGAGTTTCCCTCCAAAAAGCATTAGAATATGGCAACAATATCCCTTCCCTGCTGAGGGTTCGAGGTGTTGGTCTAAGAAAGGAGACAGAATGAAAAGTTGAGGGCTTGTTTGCAAGAACTGAAAAACATAGGGGTTACTTGGAAAAGTCGTCTTTAACTTAGAGGATGATTAGACTCTTCTCTCTCTAATAGATAGCTCAGTTTCTTATTCGATCCTCTTTCCTTCTCCATTGATGGGCATTTTATGATTATCACAGATTATTTCGCTTCGTTGTTTTTCAGCTTTCTTGTTGTATGTGGCTTCGGTGATCGTGTTGGTTTTCGTGTTAGTTTTCCATTTTGCTCCACGCTATGGTCATTCCAATGTTTTGATTTTCACAGGCATTTGCTCCTTGATGGGCTCTCTCTCGGTAATGCCTTCTTCTTTAGCATTTGGTACTTTCTTTCCCGCGGGTTACGTTTTACTCCCAATACATGAATAGGTTAATTGTGCATAGACCCCTTGTGCTATCATCCAATTGGGAATAGGCCCCTTGTAGTTCTATTGTTGAAGATAGACCCACGAGTGAATTTTATTTCGACTCTTTTGCCCTCGGAGAAAAAGTTTTTTTTTTTCTTTTTTGAGAAATAGACCTCCTGAGGGTAAAAGAGTCCAAAAACACTTAGCCAGGGGATCTATCTGCAACAATGGAACTACAGGAGGGTCTCCTCTGCAATCAAACAATAATACAGATGATCTATCTGCAATTAATCCTATATATTAATTATAGAATATGAGGTTATCTAGTTTCATGTAGTTCTCATCATCCATACTCAAAAGCTCACTATTCCTCAGGTTATGAGTGTTAAAGCTTTGGGAACTGCCATCAAACTTACATTTGAGGGTAAAAATCAATTGGCCTATCCAGAGACATGGTTTTTTATGCTGGTGGTGCTAACGTGTGTAATCACACAAATGAATTATCTTAACAAGGTAGGTCCTTTCTTTCTTCTTGCCTTCTTTTTTCCTCAATGCTGATAGTAATTTTGTTAATGACACTGTTAAGAATGCAGATAGTAGTTAGAAAAATATAAATTGCATCTGGATCAATCTGATTTGTGGTATTAATATCAAAACTTTGACATCCTTTTTAAGTAAAATCGTGATGCCCCATGTCATAGCTTCGATAGTCCTTGTTTCGACTTTGATACTTTAAAGTTTAAAAACAACTATAAACTCGCGGTTTGGTATGCAGATACATGTGGCGATGGAAAGATAACCATCTATGGAGTTTATATATCGATTTATGTATTTCCGTTGCAGTATTTTATGATATTGCAATTTTCTTGGATTTATAGGATAGCCCCATATGGGATTTTAAGAAATGAAGAAGAATAAGGAAGTTTGTTTTAAGAGGAGGGTTTTCTTCTTTTTTCTTCATGGATATGGGGGTTGTGGCATAGGATAGGGGAAGTTTGATAATTAGTGGCAGCTGGAGTTTTGACCTACGAAAGTAGGAATCTCCTCCTTGTAAAAATTGGGTGTCTTATTCGTGCCCATATACTTACGAGGCACTTGTTGTCATGCTTGTCAACCTATATATCTTGCTTTTTGTTGGATAATGTCCAAAATAATGTGCTGTCCTTCTTTAACTAATGATGTATATCAAACAAAGTGTTGCAGCATACCTACAAGAAACTTGTAAAATTTATAAGGGTGTCGCACTTACAAATCAAACAAAATTGTGAACTCTTCACATATCTTTGGACTTTAACTTCATAATCTCAAGTGCACCTTTTATTTAACTTTGATACATCTGGGATACCTAGAAAATCCTGAGATATGGTAAAAGGGATTTCTCATATAACCATCAAGTATTGGAGTACAAAAGTGCCGGATATATTTGTCAAGTACCTCGCCATTGCACCAAAAATCCGAAGTTATGTTGAGAGTTGAGGGTTCTAGTTTTTACATGCAGACACGGACACATCAGCACACTCCACAGGGCTGTGATCTTGCAGTTTTTGGCTTGCATAAGAGTTTAATATATCCTGGTGTAAACATCAAATGACAGATAAAATCTTGTTAGATTTACTTGCTCATCTTTTTCGCATCTTGGACAGCATATTGACATTTTAAAGAATTTTGATGCTATATATGATGCCTAATGTTTAAGAGTTCATAGAGGGATCTACCAAAAAGTAACAACTGAAAACACCGCATTCAGAGTAGAGGTTAAACAAGTTTAGCAATCCATAATTGACTCTTGATTCTTAACATTTTGATTTTTCTTCCTTAGGACAAGTGTGATTTAACTGAAAGTTAGTTGTTCTCAGCTTCCTTATGTACTGATATTGGTATTCAGCATCAAACATCTTAAGTGATCTCATTGGTAAATTTGTACACTGGTGCCTTGACGAGGTTGCTGATTTATCTATTCCGTGGTAAATATTATGCCCCTCTATGCCCCCATTTTCAGATGATTACAGTGATTGGGTGTAACTGTGAAGATATCTCATCTGGCAGAAAATATAAATGTATTTTACTTAAAATACTAGAAGTGTCTTATTTTTATCTTTTGCCTCTGCTTGAATGGTAGCTAAATTGAATCGGCTTCTAATGTTTTCAGGCCCTCGACACATTTAACACCGCCATAGTGTCTCCAATATACTACGTTATGTTCACCACATTAACCATCCTTGCGAGTGTCATAATGTTCAAGGTATCATTCTTCTCAATCTATTAAATTATTTTGAAGCACAAACATGTCAAACAATTGGATAACATGTTATGTTCTGTTTGAGTACAGTTAAAAATGATGAAAAAAATGTGCAAAACACATATAATGTCTTTTTCAAATAACTGGGTAACTAGTGAAATTTTTTTGAACTTGCTATATATATCAGGATTGGGATGACCAAGATGTTGGAAGCATAATCTCTGAAATCTGTGGCTTCATTGTTGTTCTCTCCGGTACCATCTTATTGCATGTGACCAAGGACTATAGTAGGAGCACCCCAAGAAGTGTGTTAAATGATCTTTTCTAGTATAGTTTCTTTGTTTTCACGCTATTGTTGTTGATCGCGGATACACTCCTTGTACTATTACCCAAGTGCAGATAGACCCCCTGGGTGACTTTCTTTTGACTTTTACTATCAGAAAGTTTTTTTTATTAATAAAATAGACCTGAGGGTTAAAGAGTAAAAAAATTCACCACAGGGGTCTATCTGCAACATAAACTAAGGGGGGAGTCTAATCCTCAAATTGGGCGATAGTACAGGGGGTAATACCTGCAGTTAACCCTTCACGCCGTGACGTATAAACATGAAACTAAAACACACGTAGCTGTGTTCTCTTATCATGCAGGTGCATATCCACCTCTTTCTCCATCTTTATCAACTAGACTCTGTGGCGAAAACGGGGAGTTTTTGAAGCACGTCGACGAAGAAATGCCACCTCCAGAAGAAATGTGCTTAAGAAGACAAGAGCTCTACTAGAAAACTTTGAACCAAAATGATTCTATTTATTCGAGGAAGCCCATGGTTGAGTACCAAGAAGCCAAATATGAGACAGTCCCTTCGATTCAAGTCCCTCCAGAATGAGAAAAAAAATTGGTCTTTGTTCAGAGAACGACGAGAGATGGGCTTCGGCGGTCGTGTAGTATGTTTCGTGCTTATTATTTGGTGTGGCAGAAGAAATAACGCAGTCGAGGTGTGTGAGGGGCGTCTGGGACGGCAACATTCATTTGTGCATACGTGCTTATCGAATGTATTATAACAGAGAAGATGACTTTTCTTAAGCATATTCACTTGTGCGTGCATGAGCACTGGACGTATCGCAACGGCGAAGTAGGGCAATTTTTTTAGCCTTTTTTCTTCCTCTCGCCCTGTTGAAGATGCATACCAATGAACAATTGCTTGCATCCTTTCCTTTAGAGTAGCATCCGTCAATTATACAACATGGGCAAACTGAGAAGCGAGCAGAACTTGTAAAAAGGCAATCTACAGAGTAAACAAGAAATAGCTTCTCTCAACGTTGTTTTATTTCGTCGAATTACAACCGGAAGCAGATTGTTTCTCTTTCCACAATTGGCACGAAAATGAAAATTTTGAACCAGTCACCAGAGGCCTGTTCCCTAAAGCAAGAAGAACAAATATGTTTGCCGCAAAAGAAATATTTATAATTTTTAATTGGACGCAATTTACCAAGGCAACAGAAAAACTCTCAAAATTCCTCAAAATTGAAAAATTCCCTAAGCTCCACCATGCTACAACAAATCCAATGTCTAGCAACACCACCGCATTAGTATCATCCACGTCTAGAAGATGACCAGGAGGAAGAAGAAGCCGGCAGCCTTGAACCTCCACCAAAGGAGGAAGGCCGGCGATCATCAGAACGGCCCCACCTATCGCTAGACTGCAGTGGCGGACGATCATCAGAGCGGGCCCACCTGTCTGATGACTGCTCAGGCTCAGGGTTCGAGGCTGGAGGATCACGGCGAAACCTTGGAACGTACTTTCCAGGAGTCGG